CATACCTGAGTGTCTGAGAGAACCTAGCAAGTTTTTGAAAGGCATGTAAAGTGTGCAATCCCACATTTGGCCAGCGGTGTGGACTAATGTGGCCTGATCCCACTCTAATTGAACGAAGGCCCGTCTCAGCCATAAAAGACCCGTTTTGTTGTTGACAATGCACATCATCTCATTTTGTTTGCTCAAAATTCAATTTGAAATCAGTAGAAAAGTTGTAAAACATAAAATTATCTACAAATTAGGTCCCTAACAATTTTTCATACGACCAACCGCTCTTGAAATAAAAAGCGTAAGAAATGGGAAGCGCTTAGCCATATGTAATGTTAGATCAACTGTGCGTAATACCTTTCATTCCGAGGTTAAATCCCTATTTGACTGGACGATTACTTACCTAAGGTATTATTTTATTTCATTATTTTCCTACCATAAGCGCGGATCCAAGATAATTTTGGTGAAATAATATTTGTCGATAATAACCAAATTGAGTTAAAATTAATTAATTATTTAATTCCTAGTTGATCACTTAATTAAATTAATTATGTATTCCTTAATTTTATGTTAATAAAAGCAATACACATTTTGTATATCTACATTAGTCGCGGCAGCGTATTTTTAGTTTATCGAAAAGTTATAAAAAAATCCGGCATTTGACATGTCTGGCAAGCACTGTATATTTTGCCAAGAATAGCAGCAAAGTTTGGTCAGATTTAGTCACATTGTTCTGAGTCTGGGTTCCAGGACCCAAACATAAGATTTATCTTTCCCTAATTAAATAAAAAAGAGACACCATAACTTGGTATTGTAATATAATATATATTCATATATTTTAAACTGCTTATTGAAATAATCCAGAGGTGCTCAAGGAATAATTTTCTAATAATTTTAAGTAGTTGCGTCTGTTCTGTGTGTGTACTATAATCATTATTTGATTTTAGAACAAAATATTATTATTATATTATAATACCCCAAAATCTAACAGCAATAATTTCGAGCTCGATTATTACTCGAAGTACCTACATACATTCATTTACATATATGTATATGTATAGGTTCTTTAATTAAAATCTATAATATATGCGACATAAGGTGTGAGCCAACTTATGTAAAAATTTATAAAACTTATAGTACAATAAGTACATACAATCACCAAAAGTCTAAACAAAGAAACTGAACAATCATAACTCGCGATTGACAATTTATATCGTTACCTTGTGTAATTAGTCATGGACGAGTGGATTTAAGAAAGAATTATGTATTTCACCGAGCGAAACTACTGGCATCGCTTTGTGGTTGTAGTTGTACGACCTCGCATTTTACCAATACCTGCTTAATTAAACAATACCACCGTTCTCGATTTCAGACTCTTTTCATAGGTTTTAATTAATCATCTTTTGTGATTCAGGATCAATATAAAAATTGCAGTTAAAATTAAATTGCAAAAACATGATTCATAATTTTCAGTGAATATTTGATTAACAAAATATTTCAATCTACACTTAATATTATAAAGAGGAAAGATTTGATTTTTTGCTCGTTTGTTTGTACTGAATAGGCTCCAAAATTACTGAACCGATTTAGATGAAATTTGGTAAGAAGATAGTTTGAGACCCTGGGAAGGATATAGGATATTTTTTATCCCGGGTATCATTACTTAAGGGGGTGAAAATGGGGATGAAAATTTGTATGGGGAATCAACCTAGGGACGGACCCGAGCGAAGCGAGGGTGAGTCGCTAGTACTATAATAATGACGATAATATAATATATTAATTAAGATCGATATGGCTAGTTGTGAAACCATACAACCATATTATGGTTGACAAAGCGATTTTATGAACATACTAGCGACTCACCCTCGTCCTCGACCGGAACCCTAATTTTCTTTAAAATAAAAATAGCCTATGTTACTCCCTATAACATCAGCTAACTTCCAGTGAAAGTCCCGTCAAAATCAGTCCAGCCGTTTCAGAGATTATCCGGAACAAACAGACAGACAGAAATTTAAAAATTGTGTTTTTCTTATAAATGCCGTATATAATTTCATATGCATACTATAGTTTAGTAAAACTGTTATTTTGACATTACAAAAAGACACTTTCATTTTATTTATCTGTATAGATTAATTAAAATTTTAGAAATTCGCGTATATATTTTCGAATCAGTTGTATTAATTCACGACAATGATGTTACTGTGCAGGACAAATCATGAGCCCCTCGTTGATGGATGGAAGCGCAATCTGAAGGATGCAAATAGATATTCTAAGTGGATACTTCCTTTTGTTTGTTGTCTCTTCACAATATTTATATTACAAGCGTTTTTTTAATAACCGAATTATTCTATTAATAAACTTGACCCATTACTTTCGTCAGGGTTGGATACGTTTAAACAGGTTAAAGGTAAATAAAAATATAATAGATGAATATGTTCCTTAAACCCTTTAGCAAATTAAAATATAATAGTAGATAAAAGATAGCATCATGTATAGAATAGTAAAACAAGAAGATGTCCTAAGAAGATTTTTATTTTTTACCCATACGATAACATATTGTGAATCACGATTAATTTTATCGTCAATTAAACATTAACATATTCGGAACACGTAAGCTATTGTTTAGAACTTAAGATAATATGTAATATGTATTAAATCCTCTAAGGTTAATTTCGTAGCGTGCAAAATGCTAAACTTACCATATAGGCACAAATAAGGCAATTAGATGGGTAGGTGTGCCGTTAAGCTATGAATCGGATATATTCGAAACTGGTTTTGCGAGCCGTCAGATAGCACATTTCATTGAACATTGACAGAACTGTGGTAAGGGTGAAAGTAGCACAATATGAATTATTATATGTGTACTTAGACAACATACATATATTGTTACATGTTAAGAACAATAAAATATCATTAATTAAATTAGCTGGTGAAAGCTTTTTGTTATGATTATTATTATAAAATATAAAATAGTAGAACATGCGGGTTCATCCACGTTCAATCTATAAAATAACTCTTTGGCTTCATGTTAACAGCATATGTATTAATCATATAGTATTACAATAATTTATGAAAGTCTACCTGATTTGTTGACATTTGATTACTACTCCGTTCTCTTGGATAGTAGCTTGATGATATGAAGCCTTACTCGATAAATGAACTATCTAACATAAAAAGAATTTTTCATATCAGATTAGTAGTTTGAGAGACTAGCACATTCAAACAAACAAACTCTGCCTTTTTATAATATTAGTATAGATTGCATACCTGAATGGTATTTAATTAAACAATAATACTTTAAAAGAAGTCAAAATATATCAATGCGAATGTAAATTCTGAAGATTGCAGGCTAAGCTTACTGAATATCACTATTAGTCTAAGTTTTAAATTAAATAATTGTGGCAAAAATAAAGAAACATATTTTAATATTTACAGAAATTAAAAAATAATAAAAGATTTTATAAATAAAGGTGACATTTAATACATAAATTCAGTGTTATATATTATATAAACTGTATAGGAATAAAACCATGGCAGGTGTAAATATGATGTCTAAATATCAATTTTGAAGGGCCACAATTTTAAACTATGACAATTTTTGTTAGTTACTTTGAGTTATTTATTATAATTTCATATTTAATGTTATTTATGAATAATAATATAATATGAAAATAAGAATACCTAGTTAAAAATGAAAACTGATTTATATATAAAGTAAGTATTGTAAGATATCATACATTTTTTTAATTTTTAAGACAATATTACTTGTGGACTTTGGCACATAACTAACCACAGCTGAATGTAGTTTTGATGGAAATAAATTAATAATATGGAAAAAATGGCTTTAACAAAATTGGAATAATAGGAAAAAAGAATCATATTATAAATAAGACAGTTAACAATATTATAAATGTAAAATATTGTCAATGTTTGTTATTTTTTCAATTCATAATGTCTTATAGCTTTTGAGGGAAGTTCAGAATGGGATAGCTTTTATCCTTTATTAACAACATGATTACCTTTTATTGATGCATGTAGATAATAAGTGAAGCTTTAAAGACAAATTAACAGCAATATAATTTTAAAAACAAAAGTAAATAGAGAATAAAGGAGCAATTAATGATTGAACAAAATATATAAGTAGTATACAGTTCTTAATAAAAAAAAGTAAAAAGAATGCCTTCCTTTTAAAAGTTTTAACACTAAAAATAGAACAAAATTTTATGACTGATGAGATTTTATACAAAACTTTGATGATGAATCAATCACAGAAGAAATATAATGACTGCAATAAAATCAAAGTAATAACCAATGCAGAAACAACAGTTGAATTGAAATAATGAAACATAACTTATATGAAGAAAAAGGATGAGAAATACCCTAACAAATTTTTATATTATATAACAAAATAACAAAACTAAACTACACTATAAAATGTAAGCAAAACCCTATTGTGTTATATATATAATAATTCATAATATATTTACTATTTACTTATAAATCATAACCAACAATTTATTGATATTTTTTATGCTGTTACTATTGTCAATTAATTTCTAAAGATAATCATAACATTATTGCATAAATTAATTTAGATTTTTCAATTTAAACCATTAGTCATGTCAATGACTAAGGTCAGTAAGCTCTAACACAATGTTAATTGAGAAACAGTAAGTGCTACTTATTTTGGTATTATTCATCAAACTCAATATATATATGGCAAACCGTAAAATTAAATCAAATGAGCTAGAAGAATTTTTAACATTTTATTAGTAAAGTGTAAAATTTATTATGGAAAATAAATTCATTCATAGTTTATTGTATTTATATTATTAAAATATTTTAAATGTATGTGATATCATAATTTAGTATTATACATTTCCTTATACTACACCAAAACGGTGACTAATGCAATAGTTTTGTTATCCTAAATAGTCACTTCGTCTAAGATACGTGTAGCTGCAAATGATTTGTTAATTATCCAACGAGTAGAGTAAATATATACCACTTACCGCTTTCAATATATGGGAAGGCGAGCAGAAGAAAAATTATGTATCCAATTTCACTAAACATTGTCGCTTATAAACACACACTTTTGGTATCACTAAGTCATCGCACACACAGCTGATTTTCGAGCCACACAAAACCTTTGTCTGTTTTCGATAAAAACGCATGCGCGTGCAAACAATATTTTTTATTTACATTACAACAAATCTTAACAGTAATAGAAGATAAACTAAACAAACATTCATAACAACACGACCATTTTTATTAACGTCGAAATCACCGTTTGGCTCAGTTGAAACAATAAATAACAACAAATTATATTTTGCCTAAACTTGGTCAACTTAGAAAACGTATATTACTTTGATTTATTAAAAAATATAAATGAAAACAATTCCACTTCTGCATTATTGTCCCATATTTCACTAATATTCACAGAACTAACACATATTTTATATACAAATTATTATAAAAGCAAAATCTGTACTTCCCTATTACTTGACTGACATATTGGAATTGTGTATAATGTTGCTATTCGTATGGAAAGTTTAACTGCTGTACCAATAGGGGGCTCTGAAATCATAGTGCTGCCATAATAAATTGTTTTAATTAAGCTTTAATTCAAAAAATCGGTAAGTGCATCCAGTAGTAGTATTATAGTGATTGAATATTGTGAAATATGAATATTATTTTTAACAGATATTTGATATCACAAGAACTTACTGTTATCTAGTGTTAACGAATACCTGTGATTTGTATCTGTTACGATAAATACGCCTCACTCCTAAACCTAATATTATCAACTCGCACATATGTACTATAAATTATATATATTTTATATACAGATTTTACGTTTAATATAGGTTAATATTCCTTCTTGGTTATATATTTTGTATACAACTTTTACGTATATAGGTTAGTATTCCAAAAAAAGGGTTACATACTCTATGAGTAATTAACCCTTTTTTTGGAGTTGAGTACTTATAAAATTTTCATCATTAACTTTCACAATCTCGCACAAATATATTATGAAAATAAAAATATATAACTTCATATGATAAATAATTGTAAATTAAATAAAAATTATGACCAATCATAAATTCATACACTTACGAATTTTTCACATAATCCCTATTCTGTAGAAACTCTTTATTGTGCTGGAAATTGGAATGTTATATTGCTGGTTATGCAAGCTGTGGGGAATCTCAAGTCGATTGGTGATTTATTGTGGACTAGCACTGCACGCGGCTCCGCCCGTGTTCAGATGACCAAATACTAAATTCTTAGGTTTTACATATTAGTATAATTTTACATTGCAAGTATTGTATTATTTCTCAGAAATGAGACATTTTCTCGCGGTAAAAAGTATCCTATATTGTTGACCCGGATAACCAGCTATCATCATACCAAATTTCATCAAAATCCTTCCAGTGGTTTTTCTGTGATGCGGAAACAGACAGACAGACAGACAAAAATTCTAAAAACTATACATTCGGCCTCTGTATCGATAATAATGTCTATTTCAATAAGATTTTCTAAAAAATCTTTAATGTACAGATTCGGCTAAGTTACAATTTTATTATATGTATAGATTGTAGTATTTTTAATGGCAATAAGAGAAGGGATTAAAAAAACATTAAAAAAAACTCACTTTTTGGCTGTCGTGTGCGCGCGCATCGTAAAAATTTAAAATTTTGCTTTCATAATTTTTTCCAAACATGCCAAAAAAAGTATAACTTTAAAAACTGAGCGACAGTATCAACTTTAAACCATTGGGCATTGAGCTTGCTAGCTTGTTACAAAAATACAGAAAATGTGTGAAAAAAAAACACTAATCAATTTTTCCATCGCTCCAAAATAAGTATAACTTCAAATAATGTAAGATAATAATAATATTATTTAAATAGTTGAAACTTCTTTTATTTCCTAAAATAATTTCCAAAGGAATTTGTGGGGAACCAGTATAGGTTTGTCAGAGAATTTGAAAAGTGTTTTAGCAACGCTTTAAACAGGGGATCATGTGGAGATGCACTAGCTAAAAAACAGTACTACTCACTAAAACCTAAAAGATTACCCGCAATTGACGCGTTGTCCGCGTCGGGGGTCGCTAATACTTTATCATTTTCAATCTTCTTTTTATTTGTATTCTGATTTTTATTTACTTAGCGGTTCTTCGACGCGGTGACGCTCATCATCAATAGGTACTACTAATTATTACCCAAGTATTATATATAAAAATCAGCTTTTATACTATAAAGTAAGTAGAATTATGATTTCATGAAAAGGGTGTCTGGCAAGGGTTTGCCAGGATGTTAAGTGTCTGGCATTGAATGACGTGATTTTTAATAATATTCTGAAGGTAATACCAAAAAATCACACTTTATTATTTGACGAATTTAGATCGGTATTTTACACACCTTTAGTACCGTGTACCTGCCAAAGCCACCATAGCCTGAACTTCATAATGGTCCATCGTTCTGACCTGTGTTGGGAGCATGCGCTGACAAACTTTCAGCCTTTATAAAATGACGAAGGTCTGGCGTTCACGGGCTCTTGCTCTATTAATAGCGTTTGACTTTAAAAGGCATGTAGAGAGGGACCACTTTTTATTCTGGACCATTTAGTGGTTCCTGCATGTGTGAATTGGTTGTTTGAAAGTATAGTTACTTAGAATGAGTTCTAAATGTTGTAACAAAATATTTTATTACCAAAAATAAATATATATAGAGGACTAGCATTGCCCGCGGCTCCGCCCTCGTTTAGATGATCACAAAACAAATTCTTAGGTTTTACATATTAGTATACACTAGTTTCCCGCGGTAAAAAGTATCCTATATGTTGACCCAGATAACCAGCTATTACCTTACCAAATTTTATCAAAATCCCTCCAGTGGTTTTTTGTGATGCGGTAACAGACAGACAAAAATTCTTAAAACTATAGATTCGGCCTCTGTATCGACAATAATCGTTATTTCAATAAGATTTTCCAAAAAATATTTAATGTACAGATTCAACTCAGTTAGAATTTGATTATATGTATAGATTATTTTCATTTTATGTATCTACAAATACAGGCATTAACAACTAAGAGGTTTAGATATCAAAAATAACATTTATTTAAATAACTTGTAACAAGTGTTATCGTAAAAAGCGTTATTATATAACTAATTTAACAATGAGCAGCTTATTCATTTAAAAGGCTTTCTTACTTTATAGTATACAATTAAGTAAGTCAAATTTCATATAAACATTTGGTTTTTACTTTTTAATAATAGGCATTCATGAACTTCAATAATATGATATTCATATTTTGGGCTATACCAATAGGCAATCATATTTCAATACAAGTTAAACAAAAATAAGAATCTATTCGATTCTCACCTTTTATCTAATATCAATACTTTGCTTAGATTTTGTTATAATCAAATGTTTAAATACAAACTTTTCTTAAGAAAAATTAAGAATTTGAAAAACAATAATTAACATAACATTCAGTTAACTTTGTTTGTCTCACAAGAAAGTATCATCGATGATTTTGTAAGTTCCCGGAAATTATTGATTTTTATAAATTAATATTTATGTTTTAATTGTTATATAAATATAACGTTAAGCAAATACTATTTTACAACTAGTACAAACGAATGTAGTGCAATACAAATCCATCTTTATTATCCTTCAATACCATTTGATATTTTATTTATTGGTGTTTGGGCATTAGCATTATGCAACAGTAATTATATGAAAAATATGACTTGCCTTAAAAGGCAGACAGATATATATGTATAGTCTGATTTTTAATTCCTTGGAATTCTGACATTTCAGAAGTGTTGTCAGCTTTAAAACATTGTCACTAAAAACGGAAAGCATTTTAGCAAAATAAAAAAATAAACCTTTTTTAAATAAAACTATCTTTTCGGATTATTTCGCGGATTTATTTTGATTTTTGGTTCCCGACGTTTCGAATGCTTTACAGCATCCATGGTCACGGGAGAGACTGAGGTGTTACATGTCTTGAAGGTATAGTTGTTACAGACAGCCTACCCACAATTAACAAAATGAAAATTGCACCTATTACTTTACAATATTTTTTAACCTTAAACATTTTTATAATTTTAATTATAATTAATAATATAGCTAATTAAAATTATATAAAAATGTTTAAAGTTAAAATATTGTAAGGTACTTTAGTGCCATTTTTCAATTTTTTGAATTCATTTTGTTATTTGTGGGTAGGCTGTCTGTAACAACTATATAATACATTAGAGACATCTAACACCTCAGTCTCTCCCGTGACTATGATTGCTGTAAAGCATTCGAAACGTCGGGAACCAAAAATCAAAATAGGTTCGCGAAAAAATCCGAAAAGATAGTTTTATTTAAAATAGCTAGGTTCTCTCAGCCATGCAGGTTTCCTTACGATGTTTTCCTTCACCGCGAGTAGTTATTATGTTGAAAATGATTCACACATGAAAATATGAGAGATGCGAGACCGGGGATTTGAATCGGCTTCACCGCCGTAAATAAAATTGAAGAACATCTTTGTTGCTGTAGATTTATAAACAGAATATTCGTTGAAAATTTAAGACATAATAATGTAATGTCAATAAGTAAAATTTAAATTTGAATTTAAGTTAGTATAAAGGAATGTAATATTTGTAATAATATACAATTAATTTTATAACTGTTTGACATAACATTGTTTTGACGCAACTTGTTAATGGTATAATTATGTTTCAACCAGCGCTGGATTTACACTAGAGACACTCGGGGCTAGTGCCCAGGGCGTCTTTTCAGGGGCGGCAAAATTCGAAAGATAAATAAAAAAAATTGTTCGCGTTATCAAAAATGTTTTTTTTTATTTTCCAATAAATTAATAATTTAAAAAAAATACTATTTTTTGCATTTATCAAAAATAAAAAAATTAAACTTTATCGAAACTATCAATTTTATGGAAAATTTCGATAATGGGTGGCATTTCTTACAGTGCCCAGGGGCGGCGCTAAGGTTCAATCCGGCAATGGTTTCAACTATGCTATTACATTGTAAACAACATGAAACGTTAACAAAACTCATTTTAGACACACTATAAATTCATTTATAAGGAATAGTCCTGGAAAAGCCTATGTAAATTTTTATTATAATGACTATGTATGATAATTACATTCCAATTTCGTGTACAAATTACTGATATTAAATAAAAGCATATACAATGAATAAATGTTTGAATAAAAATATTAGGAACTCAATAGAGTAAGATATAAAGGAAATGTTTAAGAAACTGCTTCTTTCAATTTGTCGGGATCGAATACACCTTTCTCTGTTATAATACCAGTAATTAACGATGCTGGTGTTACATCAAAGGATGGATTCCAACAATTAATACCTGAGAAAAATAAAAAATAATTATTAATTTATAAGTATATAACATGATATCTGTTTTGCATCTTTGCATTTGCTTGACTTATTAAAATGAAACTTTTAATTCCTTTGCACTACTTCACATTGTAATCAGTACAAAGTACAAACCCCTTGCAAATGAACAGTACCTACATACAGATATTTTTTGAACTGACTCGAAAGAGGGTATATAATTTCCATGATTTTTTTATGATATCTAATATATAAAATTTCCATGTCACAATGTTAGTTACCGTACTCCTCCGAAACGGCTTTACCGATTTTTACCAAATTTTATATGCGTATTCAGTAGGTCTGAGAATCGGCTACTATCTATTTTCCATACCCCTAAGTGATAAGGGTGGCCCACGTTAGGGACGAACCCGAGCGGAGCGAGATTGAGTCGCTAGTATATATATACACTACAGCCAAGGCTGGTGCCATTTGATTAAGAAAATATTCGACACCTAAAGGTAGAATAATTACTTTAAAATTGATTTATAGGTAGAGGAAGATTGTAATTATAGTGTGGGATAAACTACCATTATTATTTTTGTATACAGCATATTTTATTATACAACAAAACAAAGGATTAAAATATTCAATAATTAAGTACATAGAAATTTTTTTATATCAAAATTGATTATTTTAAACTAACCAGGTGCAGCTATCCTGTGTTCTCCAATGTGTGTCATTTCCCTGTCGGGCCGCTCCTCGATCTTGATCCGGTCTCCGGACTTGAGCGACATGTCTATAGACGTGAGTGGCGCGGCCACGTAAAAAGGCACGTTGTGGTATTTAGCTACAATAGCTATTTGATATGTTCCTATTTTATTAGCTGTGTCTCCATTTGCGGCCACCTAGAATGAAATTTATTTATATATAAATAAATGGCGCGATTTGGAACGTGGTTTATATTAATTTGGGTTGTTGGTTTTTACTATATATCACGTTTCATAAACTCGCGGACGACGCGCGTATCATGAACGTGTCGTAAGTCGTTTCCGCATATTCTATGCTGATTTAAAAAATATAGAGAAAATTGCGTTCGTATCGATTCAAACGCAGGCAGGTCGAGTGCGCGTTAAACGAGCGTCGAAACGTGTTAAAAAGTCGTCGTGTGCATAGGTCCTAATATTAAACAAACACTTGTTACCTTTTCACGCTTAAACTATTAAACAGATTTTGATGAGGCAAGGACATGAAATGTATCATGAACATGCATTTTATCATCTTATGTATCATGCGAGCACAGCCGCTGACAGAAACTAGTTTTTTAAGAAAATTAATCGTGGCGTTATCTATTCATTTTTTTTAATAATAAAAACTTACATTTTATCTGATATTGTTTTTTTTTTGAACTTTTAGATTACCTTGCTATCAAGTGTCGAAGTAGGTGTTTTGTTAATTGACTTTTAAAGGTTATGTAAATTTCAACTTTAAAGGTATGAAATACAATACTATGATACCATGGAGACATTACTGACGGGATCAGGAGATCGAGTCCTTCAATGACAAGTAAAAAACATTCGAGTATGGGCTCATTTTATTAGATTGTTGTGATGACTTATCATGTGTAACCTTTTTTTTATAATAAAAAGAAAAATATAAAACCACTTACCCTATCCGCTCCAACAACCACAGCAGTAATGTTCCTGGCGTGCATTAGCGCAGACACCATGCTATCGACTATGAGGGTGGCGGGTATCTTCTCGTGGACCAGCTCGTACGCAGTAAGCCTTGCTCCCTGGTTGTATGGACGGGTTTCTGTGCAGTACACGTGCTCTGTAAAAGTGAACTATTAGTAAATAATTTTCTTGATTATAGCTCTTTTATATACCACAAGTGGCTCGCCCTGGTTTCGTTCAGGTGTAGAGTAGCATGAGAGTTGCTTATAGTAACAATATCCTCCTGATTGACCATGGTGGCTAATTTCACTGAGACAAGGTGCAGGAGATATTATAGTGCACAAGTTCTCACACAGTCACAATTAGTGCACTCTCTATATTTTTTACTTTCAAATTCCGATGTGACTATAATCTTGCTCCTGATAATAAACTCTCGACCGACTTCGGCTACGGCGGCTTGTCTCATTGAGACTAGCTTCCCAACTGCGGGCTGTTACTGAGACTTACTAAATAGAAAGACTCAATAACTAAACTTTGCCCGACCCGGGACTCGAACCCAGGATCTCTCGATGTACAACCGTACTTTCTAGCCACTACACCACCTAGGCAGTTAAGCTCCTGTTACAGTTCCTATGAACTAAGAGTCCACTCTGTTCTCAGATAAATGTCAAGAGCAACCTACCACCTCACAGTAAATCTCTTAGATCTTATAATATACTAACCTAAACGTTTGGAAGCATGTAAAGATCTAATAACTCCTAATGCAGTGCCATAACCAGCAGTAGCTAAGGAGCCAGTGTTGCAGTGTGTTAATACTCGCACATGACTGTCTTCTTCCAGCCTTTTCAATATTGTGTCACATCCAAATCTTCCAATAGCCTTATTATCTTCTATATCTTTTATTAACATACTCTCGATGCTTTGAATAAACCTAAGAAAATATTTTTTAATATAAAATTATGTCTGTATGAAATTTCGAAATGACTGTTTAAGTTCATACATAGTTTATCTAAAACAAAATAATTAAAAATTAAACCTACAAAATTTATTGGCTTTAAAAAACTTACCAACTAAATATCTTATCATATAATATATGACTTATTTCCATAAATTGATAATAATGATAACTAGTGTGTAAATATATTTAAAGTATTTTATCATTATTATTTACTCTTGCAGTTGTAAATAGAAGATACTTTAAACAATATATTATATTGTTGAAAGATAAATTTTGAAAGATTAGTCTAAAATGTTTTTACAGATATTTATGTAAAGGTAAATACTATACTTTTGTAAAAATTGTATACTAGTCTTTAGTACAACATTTGAAAGGTAAACAATACAAATTAATTTAGACAGTATAAAGCCATTAGATTTTTTCTATAAATCTCCAAGCAGCATACTACGATTTTCAAACATATTTTGCGCTAAGGACCAAGCAATGAATGAAATTCAATTGTAAAATTATAAGTTCTAATCTATTATTTTACTATACTATCACTAAGGTGCTTACTGCTTAGAGAGGGCAAATTGCTTATCTTTCTCTAACAAATACAAAAACATGTTATAATGATATACCAAGTGATGTTTGTATTTTAAATAAAACTACCTTTTCGGATTTTTTCGCGAATTAATTTTGATTTTTGATTCCCGACGTTTCGAATGCTTTACAGCAATCATGGTCACGGGAGAGACTGAGGTGTTAGATGTCTCTAAGGTATTATATAGTTGTTACAGACAGCGTACCCACAAAATATATTTTTCACTTTTTTTCACTTTTTCAATGTAAATGTATGTAGTAATGTGTTGCTTAATAATTTGTTTTCAAAAAATAGCAAATTTTAATTAAAATTATTATTTTTAATTGATCTTAACTTTTTCAAATTACACATAGATCAATTATGAGGCTTAAATAATTAATATATTATGATTTTTTCTTTATGGTTATAAATATAATAAAGGCAACACTAAAAATGTAAATTACTAATTAATATTTTTAAAATTGTAAAAATTATAATAATAACAGCTCAAATTAAATAAACAATATTCCATATTCAATTATAAAGCTAATTAAAATTATATAAAAATGTTTAAAGTTCAAAGTTAAAATATTGTAAGGTACTTTGGTGCCATTTTGCAATTTTTTAATTCATTTTGTTATTTGTGGATAGGCTGTCTGTAACAACTATATAATACATTAGAGACATCTAACACCTCAATGTCTCCCGTGACCATGATTGCTATAAAGCATTCGTAACGTCGGGAACCAACGAAAAAATCAAAAACGATAGTTTTATTTAAAATGTCAAGTATTCGCATAAATCTAAGAAAGTATGATGTTTGTATTACTAACAAAAAAAAAACTATTTTCTTTTAAGTATATTTATTGAATTTATAGTGTCTTTTTTGTTTTTATTTATGTAATTATAATAATATATTATGTATATGTTATAATATAAAATACAACATGGTTTTGTAAATTGAATGCTGGATACTAAAACTTCATTTAATGTGCAACATACCTCTCTCTAAATTCACCAGCTGTAACATTTTCATCTGCACTTAAAGTATTTGCCAAATTAATAAGATCATCTGCGGCTAATTTTATGTTCACAGCTGTTGGCCGCGCAGATACCAGATAATTTAATTTGCCTTCAATCTGAGATTAATAGAAATCTATTTTAGTACTGTTACACCATATTACGACCTCATACTCATACATAAAATTAATTAATACAATAGAAAATGGCAGTAATTTGTTGAGAAGTTATTGACTGAAGTAATAAATATTAATAATTAATCCATCATCCAATCTATTCAACTATTTATTGAGTATAATTTTTTTTTTACTTTCGTGATGACCGCGGACACGCCGACGTTACAGTTAGTAATATATTTCTTAGTATTTAATTAATTTCTTAAATATTAAATATAAAAATATTTGGAGGTGTTATAACATGGATTGATTATTGTATTTTCTTATTTAGTACTAGCTGTGCTCCACAGTTTTACATACATTAAATTTGTTTGATTATAAACATCAGTTTTACAATAATACAATAATGTATAGAAATCTGTGGGATTTGTTGATATTTATGATTACTGCTCCGCTCACTTGGATAGCATGATGATTTATAACCTACAGCCTGTCTCAATAAACAGGCTATCTAATGAAAAAAAATTTTTTCAAATCAGATTAGTAGTTCTTGAGATTAGAGCATTCAAATAAACAAACAAACAAACTCGACCTCTTGATACTATTAGAATTGATTAATATTATTTATGCATTACATTGATTAATATAATTTTAAAATACTTGAATTGTATTCTATATATGTAAAATCTAATTCTTATTTTTAGATAAATTATAAATAATACTGAAATTTAAATAACAACACAAATAAGTATAAGTAATAAATAATCATTACTATGTGTGTTATCAAACTGACCTCTTGTCTCATAATTTTTTTATCTAAGCAATCATCTTTTAGAATTTCTATGGCCAATGATAAGCAACCAACTATAGCTATAGCTGGGGCTCCTCGTACCTAAAATATAAATAATAATTAAATATGTCATAAAGTTGGAATATAGTATATGAAAATTAATTACATAATTAAGTTATGGCAAATTCATTTAAAAATAATTATTTATACTTATATATTATTAAAATATTATTTGTACCTGCATTTTATTAATAACTTTCCAACCATCTTCAACACCTTGGACTTTAATATACCGAGTTTGTAACGGTAGAAGTAGCTGGTCCAAAATTTCTAACTTACCTCGTTCATATCTAATTGATTCTAAGCTCATTTTTCCTAAAATACATTGTGCGTATTATATTTTGAAACATCGGCACAGAATTTTTAATTAATTTAATTTCTAAGATATTAGGTAAATTAAGTATATTGTTTCGCGCACTAATTTGGTTAACAGGTATACGTAACATGTTTGTTTAATTTGCTTTAGATACTTTACCTTGTACAACTACTAGTCAAGTGAAAAGTAACAGTTAATAAGTATTAAAATTATGCTTGATTTAATTAAAATATTATTTTTAGTAAAATTGATATAAAATCATAACTACAAATAGCAATAGCAAATATGAAATAAACGTTAGCCTATTTGTAATGTTAGTTACTGTCAACTGTTAAGTGTCAACTGTCAAACCACTTGTTGTTCCTCATTCCTGGTCTATGTTGTCCACTATGACAAAAAAACTACTTTTTTACCTTTTTAAAAGTCCCTATTATTCTTTTTGCAATTTAATATTATGTGTTTAAATAATATTTGTCATATATTTTATAAAAAATATATAAAAATAAAATATTTAATAAAATAGAATGTACTTAAAAAAAAACAAAGCCGTCGCAAAACGCCTAGCACTGCTGGAAACTGCTAGAAAGTATGCATGACTACCATGACAGGATGATTTTTGAAGGCAGTAATTATGTAGAAGTAGTAGAGAAGAATACAATTACTCAATCGTGGTCATGTCGTTTCCCGTCAAGGCATACGAGTCGGTTTTACTGCCAAGGCACACCAACAGATGTTTCAAAAAAAAACACAAAAGTAATTAGTAAAACTATAATGGATATTATTGGAGATTAATACATTATATAATCCTTATTGTATGCTATAATTTATGATTTCATGAAACTGTAGTGTTTTTAATATTTCGTACAATTTATCGTGAAGGTTTTAATTTATATATTAAATTTTGGACGAAACAACGGAAATAGCATTATAATCATAGTCTATGGTTCTTTTAATTTCCGCCCGGCATCGACGAGAGACGCATCGTCATTCTGCCGTGCTTCTTTATACATAAGTTGGTGGATCGAAAGTGCAACAAGAATGGCTCTTCCACGAGTTTTTATGGATCTCGCCTCTGATGGCTCACCATTGGGAAGAATTGTGATTGAGGTAATTATTGATTATTAATTATTTTAAATTGCTAAGTATGACCCCGGCCGGCGTGTTAATATGACCGACCACGCTTGAAATTTCACTCATTAAAATCTTGTTAATTTTTAACATGTAGATTAGGAAACTATTATGTTAAACAATGATGTTTATTTTTCTAGTCTTGTTGAAATTTAAACTAATAGTTAAATTATAGTTTCTGTTGGAGATTTCTTTATGAAGGTCATTTCCTTGAAGACCTTGTTATAAACTTGTTAGCGATTAAAGAAAATTCCATGATGGGAGTTGCGATTTTTCTAGATTTCAATTAATCCACTTCCGACGGCGACGCTTTATGCTATGCATGCGGTGTCAGCCATCGCAACTTATATGTACATTGAAAAGTGATTTTAAGAAATTAATGGCGGTATAGGCGCTGTCCCAATCTATGAATCATACTTATTTTAAAAAGTTATTTTTTTTTACATTTTGCATAGGTGTTTCGAAATTCTACAAAGTACCTACTATTATAAAAAATATAAAACGTTACAAAACCGTTTTCCTTATATTACAGCTGAAAGCTGATGTAACTCCAAAGACTTGTGAAAACTTCCGCGCCCTCTGTACTGGTGAGAAAGGCTTCGGTTACAAAGGATCTACCTTTCATCGTGTCATCCCTAACTTCATGTTGCAAGGGGGTGACTTCACAAACCACAATGGCACTGGTGGCAAGTCCATCTTTGGTGAAAAGTTTGCTGATGAGAACTTCGTCCTGAAGCACACTGGCCCCGGAGTACTCTCCATGGCAAATGCTGGTCCCAATACCAACGGCTCCCAGTTCTTCATCACCACTGTAAAGACAGCTTGGTTGGATGGAAGACATGTTGTTTTCGGCAATGTTATTGAAGGCATGGATGTTGTAAAACAAGTGGAATCATTTGGTTCCCAATCTGGAAAACCATCGAAAAAGATTGTTATTACAGACTGTGGACAGCTTTCTTAAGATAATATTTTAATATGTATAAAATGCGATATTTTAAGTTTTAACATAATGTCCTCCCAAGTAATACCTTCCCAGTCATAAGATTTAACAATATACATATTTGAAGTTTACTGAGGGTCATTCCAACTATGTTATATAAATTTATAACTATGCTCTAGGTTGCAAATTCGAGTTGCATTTATGTCTGCATTGTTTATTCATAATAAATTAACTTATATAACAATGTTTTGTTTGTTCAATGTTTTTTTTCCTTATTCATTATTATATTTTTAAATCTGACTTGATTTATTATTATTTCCTGTATTTATTTTATTACACTTATATTTCATTCATATGCCAGAAATGTGGAACTGGTAATATTTTTTTTGGACTAATTAAAAGAAGGCGCCAAAGATCATTAACCGACGTTAAACGGCTGACTTTCAAAGTGGTTTAGTCAAGGACATACTGTGAATATACTTGTTTATTATATAATCACGTCACTATTGACTATACCATGTATGTATTTACTAGTGTTCTGTTAAAATGAGCCTACTGGTTATTCATTTAGTCCCTCCACGACCGTGGACACGCCGGCGTGTCAGTTAACAATAGATTTCTTAGAAATTTAACTGGAGATGTTAAAGTTCAATTTGGTTAATAGTTTTCCTTAAAATTATCCGATAAAGGTACCCTTTTTTATTCCTAGAAAGATTGGATAGGGGATGTAAGTCGCCTAATACTAGAACATTCTGAATGTATCATTGTGTCGGGCGGAAAGCAGTATAGATGTGACGTAAATTTCTATTTATGATCTAATAATAATAGGGTTATTTCAGGTCATGTGTATTAATAAAAACCGTAGAATGTTGGGTTTATCCTGTAAAATCGATTATACTTAGGAATTGCTAAAATAACAAATTGAAATTTCTCGGAGGATTTCGAATCTACAAGTTTACTTATATAAATAAGCTAAGTTATAACAAAATAATTATTACAACTTATATAGTACTAGCGACTTACCTTCGCTCCGCTCGGGTCGTCCCTGGGGTGGGGTCTGGGAGGACCACCCTTATCCTTATCACTTAGGGGTATGGAAAATAGATAGTAGCCAATTCTCGGACCTACTGAATACGCATATAAAATTTGGTAAAAATCGGTAAAGCCGTTTCGGAGGAGTACGGTAACTAACATTGTGACATGGAAATTTTATATATTAGATTATTCCACTTGTAGGGAAAACAGAACTAGTGTACTAGCGTTGTTTTGATTGATTATTTTGTGGATAGGTGTTAAAAAATATACAATTATTAATGTTTATTATCATGAGGTTGCAGCTTTAAGTGGAAATATGTGAGTCATTGAAGGTCATTTTAGTGTCAGTTCAGTTATAAGGCTGCATAATTATCAACATGCTATCACAGTATACAAACGACGTACCTAACTAAACTACGAGTTACGATGTTGCATTGTGTAAGCACATCGATTATTATTATCATTATCATGTTTGTGGTAAAATAGTACCATTTTAGGTTTTAGAAACATTAGGTAAAATTGGAAAATATAGTAAAAACTTAAGATACTCAGCGCTAAGCGGTCAAATTTGTTAAGAATTCAGGAAACATAATTCCGGACAAGTGCGAGTCGTACTCTTCCACCGAAGGTTCCGTACAAATTTGTAGGAAATCTGTTCAACTTTAATTTTCAACTTTTTTTTATTTTTCGGAACTTTTCCTTTATTTGTGCTGTAATAAGACCTTGCTTTTTGCCAAATTTCGTGATTCTACGTCAACTGGAACTACCATATAGGTTTTCGACCCAAAACCTAGATAGGCTACTTCCGGTTGACCTAGAATTGTCAATTTTGGTTAAAAGCAAGGTTTTACAACAGCACAAGTAAAGGGAAAATTCCGAAAAATAAAAAAAGTAGAAAATCAAGGTAAATTTTGGTACAGTTTTCGCAAAAATCTAAAACCCATATCTTTTTATCGCGTTGGCTCAGGACCTTAGTTTTTATATACTTAATAGAGACTATAGAGCCTTGTATCTGGTATAAATTTCAACTTGCTAGGTCCACCCGTTCCTGGAAAAATCGGTGGTGACACATGGACAGACGGACAAGATAGTGATCTTACACGGGTTCCTTTTGTACCTTTTGAGGTATGGAATCCTAAAAATATGAAAAATTCACGTCATAGGAATTGTTTATCAATATATTTTTATTTATTATACGATTACGAATACAAGAAGAAACCTATTCTACCGATTTATTAGTCTCTGATGCTGTTTCGGGGAAGTGTTCATGTCGAAAACTACTTTTAATGTCAAATAGAATTAAATATTTAAAGAACGAAATAGAAACAAACATAGCTTTTTGAAGCATGTGTGAATAAAGTATGGTTAATTATCTAATTATGTATGTACCTAGTAATATGTAAATAATGACAACGTTGACCCAAGACACTATTGCTCATAATTCATATCAGCCTTGCGATTATACCTATTTGTTTTCAAATAACATACACATATAACGATAACCTGAGGAGATTGCTTATATGATATACCAACTTCCGACCAATTACATATTTATAAAGTACTTTTATTTAATCGGACTACCTTCAAAGGAGTTATGTTAAAAACGTTTTTTTGTTTTTTTTTGTTTTACTTTTTTATCCGACTGCGGCGAATTCACTTCATTCCTACGAAAATAGAATCGTTAGGTAGGTAAATTAAGCGTAGTGTTTCGTAAATAAAAACTTTTTAACAAAAAAATAAAAACCGACTTCAAACAAAAGCACTAAAAAGTGAAAAATAACTGATTGGTAGTTTTCATTTACTATACATACCTAATCAAATATTTTCGAAGTCGGTGTGCTTTGCTTTGTATGGGCTGGCACCGATTTCGAAAATATTTGATTAGGTATGTATTTAATAGGTAGGCTTTAATTACTTAGCCAAAGCACACCGACTTCGAAAATATTTGATTAGGTATGTATAGTAAATGAAAACTACCAATCAGTTATTTTTCACTTTTTAGTGCTTTTGTTTGAAGTCGGTTTTTATTTTTTTGTTAAAAAGTTTTTATTTTTCCCTTTTTAGTGTAGACAGTAGTAGCAAAGTAAGGATTCTAACGTGTTAGGCTTGTCAAATCAAACAAAATAAGCCCAAACTCAAAGTATCTACTATTAGCCGTTGAAGAGTTCCACCTATCCACCTTCTGGCCTTGCCATCAGATCAGGTCAACAACACCGAACCACTGTACTATCAACGAAAATAGAAATACTTGCAAAGTTTCAAGTCAATATGACAATTAGAAGTAGGTTAAATTCATTATTAGTTGTTTTTCCACCCTTAGGGGTGGTATTTTTTTTTGAAATTTAAATGGGACCAATCTGGAAGTATACCCTTTCAAACGACACAAAAATTGTCCAAATCGGTTAATAAATGACGGAGTTCTGAGGTAACAAACATAAAAAAAAAAAAAAAAAAACATACAGTCGAATTGAGAACCTCCTCCTTTTTGAAGTCGGTTGAAAAAGAAAAATGATGGCCGATGGGTATTGAAAACATCATTATTACATTTTATAAACCCAAACAAAATATAGTAACATTTGTAAAGAACATTAAGTAAAGCACGCTTTTTTTTCAATTTATTCCAGAACCATATAACAATGAGACGTCGATTTGAAGGTAGGTATGTCAGAGCATTAAGATAGTTTTATTTAAAACTAGCGGCTCACCCTCGCTTCGCTCGGGTTCGCCTCTAGACAAACACTAATAAAAATCTATTAGTTCCCACGGGAACCGTTCATTTTTCCCGGATGAAAAGTAACCGGTTGTTTGACCGGCAATATAAGGTATCAGAATGTTAAATTTTACTAAATTAGGTGCATAAGTTGTATAAGTTATAATAGTTTTTTAACTATCCCACGGGAACCATTATATTTTCCGGGATAAAAAATACACAACACAACGTCTTAGACGTTGTCCGGGGATATAAGGTACCACCATGCAAAATTTCATTTAAATCGGTCCAATAGATTCGGAGATTAGCCCGTACAAACAGACAAACAGACAAACAATATCACACGGGAACGCAGTCAAACGGGATAAAAAGTATCCTATGTCCGTCTCTGGGTTCTAAGCTACCTCCCCGCCAATTTTCAGCCAAATCGGTTCAGCCGTTCTGGAGTTATAAATAGTGTAACTAACACGACTTTTTTTTATATATATAGATGTCGAAAAATATTCGCGTAAATCTAAGAAAGCATTAAATAGTAATGAAAGGTTTACTAAAAACAACGACTGTTATGTACTGTATACAGAATATTATAGACCTCAAAACAACAGTTGTTAAAAATTTTGTTTGTCGTGCATTTCACGCCAAAACTACTGAACGGATTTTAACTAAATTTTGTTTAGTCATAACTTATTGCTCAGGTCATTATTTGTGGTTTCTCTTATTACAAGAAAATCTCATTCCCACGGGGAAACAATAACTGGTTCGGTAGTTCTTCATACAAAAATTTCAATAATTTATTACACAAATACTTGGTAGCAGAGTTAGAAATTAATATATTTAGAATTCGGTCCGTTAAAATCTACCATTTCTGTGGAAAAATGCAAAATGTAATTCGAGCGCAAGTCGATATTTCTCTCTTTAAGCCACACAACGGATTTTAATACGGTTTTCACTAATAGATAAGAGTGAAATCGAAAAAGGTTTGTTAATATAATTTGTAAATATTTTGTACAAAATGGCTGAACTAAGATATTTCAGTGTTTTGACAAAACACTCAAAAAATAAACTTATACGTTTACATGGCTAACGCTAGCTAAACCTTAAGATATAATATGTACATAAACACAATGTAGGTACTACATAGAACATTGTAGGCCTTAAAAAAGGACTTCAGAAAGTTTGCGATAGCGTGAGTCTATCTCCTAAAGTACACTCACTATAACTATTTTTATCTATTTGAGTCGTACCTAGCACCAAGACCGAGGGGGAGTAGGGA